GATTCTCCCTCATTTACTCTCTCTGCAGTTGCCTTAAAAATAGCTGGTTCAAGTGAGCAACAGCACCTCTTATAGTGTAAATCTACAGGACGCTAACAGCTACAAAGTCTTTCCTTTCCCTTCCTATTCTTGTGATTAAGGGAAAATGCACAAAATGAGACTCCTACACACACCATAGGGTTCTGTCCTTGGTGCCCTGCAGATCCTGTGGTATAGAAAGGACAACTGGTATTAAGAGGTCTTAAAGAAGAGAAGCAAAGAGCAAAAAATAAAGAAAAAGTATGCAAACACTATTTTTCTGTAGAGCACACAGTGCTCAAGTCCATGGCTGTTCACCAATTCACACAGCTCATCCTTTGAGAACAACTGAAGGCTTATATAACGTTAAATGTATCTACAGCCTGAATCCTTATTGCTGAGATAGGATAGATTTTGCCACCATAGGCATAACTATTTGTGTGTTCTGTCATGTTGGACTGATGAGGAGTTACTCTGATCTGCTCAATGACCTTCACTGGAGAACCCTAACTCTGAATTGCATGGGGGAATTAGCATTCCCTACCAGTTGCAAGCAATGCATCTGCAAATAAAATTTTTCTTTAAAAAATAATTGTCATCATTTAAAATAATCTTTTTTAATTATCATAATTTAAAAGTTCTCCAGAAACCTTTTGCTCAGTAACAAGATGGCATGTGAGCCAGTGCTGGAGTTCAGCAGCCAGACTTGGCCCTGACAGTTATCAATCCACTTGCCTCTTGCACCAGGCAAGGTGGAGGAGGTCAAGCAGCAATGAACAGGAAAAAGGCTTTCAAATGTTTGGGCAATAGATTTGTACTGAGCAAAATGCACTTGCTCCTACTGCAAGCACAACTCCCACAGACAGAAAATACATAGTCTTTTTATTTTCCTCCTGTATTCAGCAGTGTGTTTAACCTTGGAGCTGTCATGCTCCATCATGAATAATGAGCCATGACAACACTCCAAGTGATCCTTGGAGAACAGACCAATTTTTCCTATATGCTATGCAAGGCAAAATGCTTACATTCCCATGGTATAGTACCTGCTTTGAAAATATACAGTAATGTGGCCATCAAGAGGAAACCACAAGTAAATACAGAAAAAAAAAGACATTTATTTCCTGATATTTCAGCACCTAAATACAGCAAGAGCAATACAACACATAACATCCCAAGGGTTCCTCTTTAAAATGATACTGGAACTGAGGATATTTGTCTCACTGAATATGCATTTCACACAACCATTTCACAGCTGAGGAAGATCTGCATTTGAAACAACCCATGACAGCTACAGTATGAAGAGAGAACACCCTGCAGGTTTCACAGCACTGTGACCTCTAGAAAAACAGCACCAATGAGGGACACGGGGGTGGCCTCCACCCTGAGCAGCCCCCAATGCTCTCAGAACAAACACATCCCCCACCCCACACACACAGCACTGCCAGAAAGTATAGGAAAAAATGTAGTTATCCGAATGCCTGATTGAAGCTCCTCTACCACCAACACCCTAACCATACCAAGGCAGGTCTTTCAGAAGGCACAGCACAGGTAACCAAGCAATAGCAAGAGTGATTTCTGCTGTACACCTCTCAAGCTCAAGGGGAGGAGGAAGATAAAGCAAACAGATTCACCTAAAGAAAGGAAAAACTAGGAAGAAACAAGCTGAAGACTTAAACAGGCATTCCTTTGTCTCTTAAACAACAATGGATGTTTGAGGTTGCTCTTACAAAAATCTTCCCTCATTCAGGAAATAAATGCTAATTCATTAACATTAACCTGGAAGACATCATGTTCTCTAACAGCTCAAGCAACGTGCATTTGTCCTACGTTTCTGCAAGGCGGAAAAACAAATATATCCTTATTCCTGAGCTGTTTGCATCGAGGTATTTGTCCATAGCTTTGCAGAGGTATAAGCTTGCTATTATTTCTGTGTCATTTCCTAATCTTGTTGCTACAACTGGAAACATGGTGCATTCCTTTTCCCTCCCTCTAGGGGCACTACTTTACTAATAATTCCATTTCAATGACTACCTTAAACTACAAGAGCTTTCAAAAAGCTCTGTAGAGCAGGAAAGCAACAACGTTAAACCTGTGATGCTTGTCTTTTCTTAAGGTGTGAATCTTGCAGTGTCAGAGAGCAGAAGACAGTTCTGAGCACCTAGGAGTTTTAAGTGCTAATCATCCTCCCACCAAGAGGCCTTCCCTTAAGACTAGACTCTTAAAGAGCTGGAGTCAGAAAATCCCTTGAGTTTCTTGACTATGGTTGAAGCTGGAGAAGAGACTCTACCACTAAAGCAGTAGTTACACCTGATAATGTATTTATTGGCAATTTAATTTTCCCCTTGGCAGACTAGCCACACATACCCCTCCTCTCTACTCACCTCTTCCATGTCCAGGGTATTTCACAACTATTCACATCACAGTAGGTCTATCCTTCCCCTGCAGCACTTCCAAATGAGCAAGACCTGTGCTGTCACCACACACTGCACTACCATCATCACTGATTCAAAACAGTTCTGCTCTTAACAGAGGACTCACTCTATACTCAAGAGTCATTCCCCAAACTACAGGATCAGAAATTTTCTCTCTAGCATTACAGTTAAAGTGTCCCTAGCCCTCCCCATGCACGATGTTCATTTCTCCCACTACCGATAATATACCACCATTAATGGCCCACATCACGTCTCTGCACATTTAGTAATTCCATTCCCTGCTAGCAATATTTGGCAATAATGCCCCTTTAAAGAAGGCTAACTACAGACTTCACGTGAACAGAAATTGGTACTAGGCCGATCTGTAAGCTCTTTAACAAGCTCTCAAATTTCACGCCAAGGAAGATTTTGTTCTCCACAGGGAGCAGTGACACAACTTTAAAAGCAAAGGTGGAAAGCTTTGCCACTGCAAGATGAGGAAGGAAGGTCATAGCTCTGATTCTCCTTGCACTACTGCACCTTCTCCATGCAAGTCTTACCTTGAAGATACACTGCCTACGTTTCACAAAAGGAAAACTAGGGGAGCCAGTTCAGCTTCCATGAAAACAATGAAAAGCAGTCACAAAAAAAACCTTCAGTTGATAGTTGCATCAGAAGCAGAAGAAAGACCAGTATGACAGAAAACAGGTCAAGGACTCAAAAGCTAGGAATTGATAAAATTTAGGATGCCTGGTTGCATGCATGCATGAAGCGTGTCATTGTCTGAGAACAACAGTGTCAAGGTGGACTTTTAGTTTTCAAAGGGATGAAAAAACTCAAATCAAAGTCTCAAGCACTGCAGCATCCAGTCCAATACCAGGACAAATGTTTTCTGCCTGTGTATGTCAGACTTAGCACAGAAAACAGCAATCCCACCTGTGGATTCTCCTTATCACTTTTTCTCTCTGTGCCCCCAACACCTGGTAAGACAACATTTCAGCCAGACCACTTATCTGAGGGGAATTAATGCAAGTTTCTGCAAACCACCCTCTGTGCATACCAAGTGTGCTAACCCTGCTTGATAACTAGGGTGGAACTGAGAAGGGTAAAAGTGACAGTCAAGAGACAACTGGTTCTGTTTTAAGGATAAAAGACCAGTGCCCAGGAAAACTACACAAGAGCTTTCTGTGCGAGATTCAACACAAGTCATCATCTGTCCACGTGGTCAATGACTATACGGCATCACATGGAGATGTCACACCTGATATGCTGAAATACTGCTGTCAGACTGGCTGACTGCCTAGAGAATCCCAGCTGGAATCTGTGGTAACCATGTACACTGAGTACACAGCTGTTGGGAAGTCTCCAACTGTGAGCTCAACCCACAGGCACTTAAAGAAGAGTTATGAGTGTTACCCATGTAAAGTACACACATTAATATTGTCTATTTGACAGAGATTAAACCCATAAATATCTACTACATCCTCAGATTTTAACATACCTAAAGTTGTTCCCCGTTAGGAGATGCCACACTAAAAGACTTGTGACAGCAGCAGACTCTTTCTTCTCCTATATACAAGGCAGACCTTTAAGAGGCCAACAAAACCACTCTTGTGAAAGCACTACACACCTACCCCCTAGACACTATATTTTCATCTTGGGGACAGGGAAACAGTCATGGTACAACTGCAAAGCATCACACAAATTTGGAGAGGCAAACTACAAGTCTGAACACTGCCCAATTCCTAAAAGCCAAGAGTATAAAAGTGGGAAGAAAGGAGCTGTCTTTTTCCACACTTGTTCTCTGAAGTAACCATGCACATTTTAATGAAATGTTTGCAAACTCTTCCAACTGAAGATAGACCTAGCAGGAAGAATTTACCTTAGTACCTCAAAATTATTAAAATATGAGTACCTGAACACAGCCTACAACAGGAAACAACAAGAAACCCAACGTGTGTTAATAGATGCTTTAATTATTAATGTGCACGCTTACAAAACTTATGCCAAGGCATTTGAAAGAAAAAGCATTATTCAAAGATAGATATTTGCCAGCACCTGTATCACCACTATATTCTCTAGCTGATTTTGATTGAACTCAGTGGACATCAACTTAATCCCACAGGACAGTATCATTCACTTCTGTAATAGCCACTGACCTTATTTCTACGAGCCCTGTTGTAGTGTCATGAATAAATGTGGCAAGCAGCAAATCTCACTCTGTCAGCAGCCAGTCCTGTCCTTTCTCCTTTTGAAGCTTCCACTCATTCCTGCATTTTTTTCAGTCATTCTGCTTCAAAACAGCTGATCCAGATGGAGGGTATTTGGATTTCAACCTTCCCACATGGTGATGAGGCTCAAGAAAATAAAAGCTGTTGTTACCTGCTGCTGACCTACTTGAATTTGTTTCCTGCCATATGACAGAATAAACAATACAGTTCATTGAACTAGTTTTCCACACCTACTCACCACTATGTAGGAAATATAAAATAAAACTAATAGAGGAAGAAGGAAAGAAAAAAAAAAAAAGGCAGCATGATCCAGTGGGGAGTAGGGAGGAGCAATTCTCACCTCTATCATAGTCATCTTCCTCTATTGCTTTTTCCTGAAGCCTCCGAAGTCGCAAGATCAAGGATTTTAACTATGCAAAGAAAAAAGTTAGTTATGAAGAAGCTACATTTAAAGATATATAGACTATTAACTTCTACGCAATATAAATTTAATGGATTACTACATCACTACAGTGGCGAAATTCTGATAGTTAAGCCCAGTATTTGTTAAGTAGACAGACCTATTTGGAAGTCTGGTGAACTGCAGCTACTTGAGCCAAGCATGGCTTTAGTCCAAACACACACAGAGAATAACAAATGATATTTCTTGAAAAGCAAAGGAGATTGTGCGATCATAGGATATTTTTCACCCTTGGAATAAATGAAAGTACGATTATTAGAAGATTCTGTCAGCATGACATCTACTTCTGATCACATTGTACTCAACAGTGTGTTCCCAAGCTCATTCTGACAATTTTTTACCTGAGTTTTGCAAAGAAAAAATATAAATTTTCCATATGCAAACCACATTTTAGTCTGTAAACAGAAATGCAGAATGAGTATTTTGGAACAGGTATACTCATGTTATGAGTCAGAAAAGAATGTTAATATACAGCCAAAAAATTTTCATTAAAATACAATTCAGGCTCATCTACATAATGTCAGTATTTACATTTTTGCAATGCAAATGCTAGATAAGGAAAAAAAAGCAGAACACCAAGAATACCCAAACCACATACAGAGTACTCTCTCACATTCCAAAAGAAACTTACCATAATAAAGTCTTATTTCAAACGTTAATGCTTCTCTTTGTTAACATCAAGAGTCTGGATCAAAGTTTTAAATTGACCAAAAATTTGTAAGGCCTTTACAAGTTTTTTGCTGTTAAAAGAAATTGGTTAGAAGGTAGGTTCAGTCCTCTCTTCACTGCTATGACAGCCACAGCCCTAACACAGCTGCAGTTACAAGACTGCAATGTGTTTATTATTAAATTTATGCATGACCTGTACCAAACAAACCACTATCAGCCTTGAAAAAGGTGAGCCTGCAGAAAGAATCAGTGTATATTCTCAAACTCTAAAGCCTGAAGGTGCTTGGGAAAGCACTAAAATCCACACTTTAGACATCCTGCACTTAAAAAAATTCCCTTTTCCCTGAAGCACTTTCATATTTCATCCTCATATTTAAACTCTAAGTTTCATACAGAAAAATAGGTACAGCCAGTCTACAACTTAATAGAAGCACTAGTTATCAAGACTACACATCAACACACAAACTAGACAGGCAACACACAAGCCTTTAAATTCAGGATTTCCCTCTAAATATGGTATATGAAAGTGGACTAGTAAGAAAAGAACTATAAAAATAAAGCCAGGAAAGTATCCAAAAGTGCTTGATTAATAATAGGCTATAGGATGCTCCAGAAGAAAAACAAACAAAAAATATTGTATACATTCCCATTTCTTCTGTGCTTTACTTTATTTTGGTTTTCACTTTCTGGAACTCCAACCTTTTTTCTCCGAGGCTAGTGAGAAAAACGAATGGTACTGAAAGGAGGAGCTCTGAATCCTCATCATAAATTATTTTCTGTGTTTTATGCCTGACTTTTTATAGAGTTTTGAAGCAGCCTGCAGTAGGAATGATTCAAGTGACACTTTTTTCATATACATGATGTATAACAACCATCTATACCAGGAGTACAGCTTTGCTGCTGCTGGCAGTGTTTATTCCATCATGCACTACAGTGGCAGGTCATTTAAAGTCTGCTTGGGTACCACAGCCCAGGCATGCCCACGGCAAACTGACTGATGCTGCCACTGTAAAGTGCTTCCTATTTGCAGGCTGGGGAGACATTTGGAGCTCAGCTAATCAAAGGCCTGCTTCTGCTTCAGCATGGCACGTCCTAGATGTGTACCAGATGAAGATCACTTTTTAAGTACAGAGAAAGCATAATTTTAACAACTTTGGTATTGTCTCCTTTTCTTGACTACCGTTGTCTTTGTTCCTTTCTGAAAACTTTGAGACTTACTCATTATCATTACAATAGGAAGGTGCTTCAAATTAAACATACACGACTGGCTAACCAAGGGCAAAGAGATCTGAGGGCACAAATCTCCAATTCTCTATTCAATGAATTAATGAACACAGAAATTAAAGATAGCAATGTTTCTTTTGTGCCTATCAAATAAGCAATACTGAAAAGAAAGAAAAATAATTTCCTATTTTGAATGTGCTACATGTTCCCAAATTTGCAGCGAATTAATTTCCCAAACCATCTCAGACTATGGGCACATTGCAATTCCAGGCATGAAACCAAAGAAACTGCTCTGTGTTGCTGTGTGTGTAAAGTCTGTAAGTAAGAGAACCTAGTTTGAGTTCTACACACATTATCTATGAAAAGAAAGTATTATGGAGCACTTTAATCCAGGTCAGATGTCATGGTAAGCAAAGAAAGAATAAATGTTTCTCAGCCTTCTGCCTTACCCAGACAGTAGGTTTGTGCAAGGTCTCCCCAGAGCAGGTTGTTTCATTTTAGGCCTAAAGACAATACAGCACATCTCACCAGGCAGGTGTCTGAGCTGAGGAGTTACAAAGATCTGAGTTTCTGAAAGGTAACCAGGAAACTCAAGCACTAGTGAGACAATTAAAATAAAATTAGGAAAAACAAAAAAGCAATGCAAAAAAAGGGAAAAAAAAACAACAACAAAAAACGACAAAACCCCTACTACCACTCAGTGTACCTTGAATAAATTAGTGCAATCCATTGTATCCATATTAATCTCTGAATTACTGTTTCCTGTGTGAACAATAAAGCCAGTACTTGGCTCCTTTGATCAGGTAAGCTCAGAATGCCCACCCTACCATCATAAAAATACAACAGCTGATCCTTCTTTTCTTAAAGTTTCCCCACCCCCCTCCTATAAAGAGCACAGTGAATGACTGTATACTGCCTATATACATTGTAGTATAAATGTGGGAATATACATATGTGCAAAAAGACTCCTGACTCACCAGCCTACTACTCCTCTGGGGTGGAAGGAAAAATGAAAAAAGATTCAGTTCCCAACTGGAAACAGAGAGGGACCCATTTTTCTTCACAAGGGGAGAGAACCTATTAGATTACTACTACTATTAGATTACTCTACTTTCTCAAAGTTGCCTAATTCTCAGAAATCTTTGGCTCAACTTAAACATTTTCAATTTAAAAGTTTAGTGCTGTTAAACCATGATACTTCAAGAAAAGAGTTCTTACCACCCTGTAATTTTATACTACATATAACCCAAACTGCAGACAAAACAGCCACCTATGAAAATAAATGGTACTTATTGAAGTAAGAAAGGGATGTGTGATGTTAGAAATGAGAGGATTAAAGTTCCAGTAGAACATAGAGTAGGGTACTGCAACAATATCACCTATTTTTAAAGAACCAAACAAAACCTGTTATCTCATTTTTATCATGCAGAGCCCTACTGTAAAACTCTGAACAAAGGCTACAAAAGCCAACAGTACCTGAACTCCTACATAAACTTTGATTTTGGCACTATAAATAAAAATGTTTTGAGGAAAAGGTATCAAAACCAAAGTGAGATTACTGACCTTTAACGTACTGCGGTTGCCAAGCAAGCAATCCTGTAGCACTGGTTCATATTTTTTCATCAAAGTATCCCAGTTATGGTCACTGACAGTAAAGCCACTTTCATAGCCTGAGGTGACAGAAGAGCCAGCAGATGCTGCATCCGAGGAATCTGTAGAATATGAAAATGTTGCATCTATATCCGAGAGAGAGACAGTCTCACTGTCCTGTAATTTATCATTTACTGGGTGCTCATGCTGCAAATCTTCACCGGACCTGGAGAAGCAACACAAATCTCCCAAGTGTTCATGGGTTTGTGCCATCTCTTCTGGATTCTGCAGATTGCTTGTGGTTTTGGGAACAACGGGAACAATCTCCGTTTCCTCAATAGATTTGCCTTCAACATCATTTACTCCAGAGGCTAAGTTCAAGGAGAGCTGTATGAAGCTGAAATTTGAACTAAAGCTATCATGTGTACCAGCAGAATGAGAAATATCATCTCTGTTTTGATATTCACAGTTGTTATTCACTTCTGTCTGATCCAAAGCATACATGTTTGGAGGCTTGTTCACTTTGGTGCTGCAGTTTTTCTGCCATGTACAGCACACAGCAGAAGCACCTCCTTTGCCTGCTGTGGCAGCAGGGCAGATCCCTATCCCTGTGCTCTCTGACCGTGGACTATTGTAACATGAAAGATTTTCGCAGCATCCTGGCGTATCTCCAGTAGCGGCCAAGGCTGTTACCCCATTAGCAGGTACTACAGCACTACAGCACAGGAATTCCAGGTCATTTTGGCACTGTCTGTGCAGAGCACAGCTCTCAGAGCCTGCACAGTGCTGCCTGCCATGCTGGAGCTCTGCTGGGCTGAGCCCCGTGCAGGCACCCAGGGACTGAAACTCGATCTGTCGCTGAGCTTCTGGCCTCATGTATCCAGGTCTTCTCGCCAGCTTCTTTTTCCGAAGAGAACCTGCCGGCATTAATTGCTGGTGATCATCTGGGAGGAGAGAAAAAGGCAGTAAGTGTTTCTGCAGTTTTCCAGGCTTAACATACTGCAGCATCTGAAAATAGTTGTTTCTGAAATTTCAAGCAGCATATCGTTTTCCATTTCAACAAAGCACAGACACTGACCATACTGCAGCTAGAGAACACTGGGTGTATTCATTCCCCTTGGGTGTATTCATTTGGCTTCCAAAGAGTTTGCACCTGTTTTTAAGTGAACTCAGTAACAAGTTCCCCCACCAGGACACAAAACTGGGTATAATGTATCACAACATCTTCCCTATTCACAATATCACTCTGCTTTTCCATTCTCAACTTGCTTTAACCCCATGCTGAAGCAGAAACTTGGTTTAAGTTTCTCTGATCCAAAATTATTTCAAACTTACAAGCACATCTAAGATAGGACTGAATCTGCATCCAAAATGTGAGAATGATGATCACAAAGAAATTTTGTTCATAACCTGCTGTTGCTGTTCAGTTTCTTGTGTTCATATCCCTGTTTTAACACCGTGCAAGTGGTTCAGACTCTGCTGTCATAACAGATACAACTGTAACACCCTGTGGTTGCAGATGTTGGTCTAATGAGATATTGTACAAGTTGTCATTTAGATTTATGATACTACCTATTGTCCAAAATGAAAAGTTAAAGGAAAAGCTTTACATGAAGAACCACCAATCCTAGGAAACTATTAATTTGTAGCATTATTGAAATATTAATATCATTAAGAAGCAGCCTCTGCTCAGTAACTTGATTATTCCTTACACATACCTTACTTACACAGAAGAAAAGATAAAATTTGCTGTTTGCAGAGAATAGGAAAACAAAGAACTCCACCTGAACAAGATAAAAATACGATAGTAAACACTGGAAATGGGAGATAAGAATATAATGTGTTTTCTGTATATTTTTATATATGTATAATTGGTAAAAAATTACATGATGACTACTTTCATTCTCTCATGGATTTACTGCTAGTTAAAAGGTATTCCATTTGCCTGTCCTGCACAATGGGAATCAATGGGAATACAAACTTTGCAATATCATCCATTTTGTAAAACAAAAAGATATTGACTGGACCTATTTGCCAGAATCATCCTTCAAGAGGATCTGATGCCTAGCTGAATTATGCCCTCTATTAGCTGCCCTCTACTCACAGAAACAGAATCAATTGGGTGCTAGAAATATTCATATCACCCACACAGAGCTCTTACAAATACAGAAGTTTCAGATTTTTTTTCTTTACATTTAACATTCCTCTCTAATCACAACCCTTTATCAGTTTTTACATTGATAGATATGCACATAATCTAAATTCCTCAGCAGCTTCTAACACAGGCCTCATACACACCTCACTATGATGACATCCTATAAAAGAATTTAAGCATTAGAACTGAAACTTCCCAAGAGAATTTTCCCAACATTCATTACATTCTCTCCAAATAACCTTCAACAAAAGCAATTTATACATTTTCCATATACTAGAGTAGTGGCACATCTCACCATGGGACTGCAGTTAAGGTTCTGGATTCTGTTTCCTATCACCATAAATTAGAATATTCCAGCAGTTTCTTACATTCTCTTTTGTCTGAGAAAAAAACATCTCAGAAATCAGAAGTAAAAGAGGTCATGGAGCCTGTCTACTATAAAAATACAGTGAAATGCTGAGCTGTACTGGGAGTAACTTAATAGAAGTCAACAAACAAGAATCACTCTCAGAGCAAGGGAACAAAAACTGAACAGAATGTTCTTTAAAATGTAATTCTTTTAGTTTATATACAAAACAATAGCCTAAATTTTACTTCAGCAGAAGAAATCAGTCATGCATAAAAGAGTCATTCTAAGGCTGCATATACTCCCTGGCCATTTAAAAAGGCCTGTCACAGGTCTCATCTGTAAAAACACAAAAGGTTCTCTGGTTTAATTAAAATCAGTTTAAAATTGATCTCACTAAATCACTATGAATTTCTAAAGTAGACAGATAATTACAGCTCTTTAAACACCAAATTTAAACTAAGCTAATGTAAATAAGGTTTAAATTGGCCAAAGCATTAGATATTTGCACCAAGCGAACTGGATGCAATTCTAAAAATTATTGGAGCCAAAGGGGTACAATTCCAGTGTCCTGGATGAGATCACACACAGCCCACGCATCTCTGCACTCCTCACAAGGTTCACAGGCAGCCCTCTAGACAGGTTTGGTGTTCAGTTCCTTCCTGGACTCCAGCTCTGTCTCCTGGTGAGTCCACCCAGCAGCACAGACCGCTCACCTGGACACCAGAACAGAGCACTAATCCCCAGTTATACTCGGGATTAGAGCTAGGCCAAGGCACGAGCCATCCAGAGGATGCTACAGGGAAAGAGCTGTAGTTCCTTCATCCCAGTGTGGCTGCCCCTGAGAGCAAGGCAGAGTGCACAGAGCTGGGGCCAACAGGAACACGGACACTCACACCTTGCCCAAAGGATAAGGGGAAGTCTGATCTCCAGGTCCAGCTAGAGAGCACTCACAGTGCCCTCAGCCATCATAAAACCCAGCCAGGAAGTTACTATTGCCTTGGGTGTACTGTTTAGGCACTGTTTACCCTGGTGCCATGCCCCTTTTCTCAAGATTAGAATAATTTCAGTTGTTTATTATTACATATCTGAAATACAGTTATGTAAACTTCCTCTGTATAGCCTTCCAACCACAGCTTGCCTTGTCTGCATGTCAGAGAAATTACACTGAACCAATTCAGCTGGCTTGTTAAAATAAAAAGACAGGCCTTAAATTCTTCTCATCTTACCCCAGTTTGAAGAATATCAAATAAGTGTTGGCAATTAATTACAAAATTATCAGAATGAAAACAACCAAAGGCAGTTTTAAAACCCTACACTACAGTGTGTTGTGCACTGTATGAGACACACATTTAGAAAGAGAGAAAATGGAAGAGCCTTTCAACTGTAATGTTAAAAATCAACTTTTTAAAATATATATTTTACAATCTTAGAAGATGATGTAGCATATATTTAATGGCAGATATGTGCAAATTACTTCCAATTCAATTACAAAGGCTCAGAAATATTCTTAACAGCTCTTTCACCATAGCAATCTTTCCTGATTATCAACTTTTCATGTAAAATAACAGTTCAGATCCAGAGCAGAGGGAAAAAGAAAACAGCCTATTGCTGTAAAGCAATGTTGTTCACATTTTAGTTGCATCAGTGAGATGAAAGAGGGAGAGGTGAAGCCTAAGAGCATTTCCCACTGATGCAAAGAGCACATTCTCTTGTACCAGCCAGACACTGAAGGACAGCAAAACAGTGATCTAATTTATTTTAGATCATCAGTCTTTGTTTTCAGCCACGAAAATGGCAGCTCACGTTTTCTGACCAAATGTTCTAATAACATCTGTGGATGAAAAGGTGTAAATACCTTACATTTTTGTTATTCCAATACAATTTTATAGATCAGTACAGAAACTCTGATCACCTTCTCGCTCCTGCTTTAAGCATGTGATGCAGAATGCTTTAAAGTTCATTTAAGTTCTCCCTGAAAGTAAGAAATTATAGACGCAGTTTTAAAGGTAGCTCAACTATCTGAATACACCTATATTATACAGTTTGTTTTTATTAGAATAACAAATTCATCTTCAGAGCATTTGTGGGTGGTAACTGTGATGTGGAAGAAAAGGTATTCGGTCATATTCAAAGCCAACTATCAAAGCACTGCTCCAAGCAATTTCTGTAGTGTTGCTTCTCTTAAGGAAGCCCTAAACACCTGCATCAAATTATTCAAAAACAAAAGTAAGTGAGTTTCAAATATTTATTATTTACAAACATACACACATTAATGCTTAACCTATCAGAAACAAAAATGAACCATTATTGAGATTAATTTGACATGCCAAAAACCATTACGGTTCAGTTCCTACATCACAGAAGTATGTAAAATGTTGCAAGTCCCTAATCAGTTACAGTTTGACTCATTTACTGAATTTCAAAGACACCACTAAATATGCAAAGATGGCACTAATCTCAACACAGCCTATGTTGAAACAAACAAGTACCACCTCTTTGCACAAATAACCTTTCAAAGAAATTCACTTTTGAATAAAGATTTACTTAACTCCTAAAAGGAAAAGGTCTCACGTAGCTTTTTCATCTCACCTACTGAGCGTTAACTGCAACCGTGATTTACCTACAGTTCTATAAAGTGCACCTATAGAGGGGAAGCATGGCTGAGTCACATTGTATTGGACATAATGATACAAATTATTTCCTCACCAAGGCTTGCTGTGATTTCTAAGGTCACAGACTGGGTTCAGTTACTCAACTGTTACATTTCCAAAATGTCACAAATAACATTCTCTGAGGTCATTAAACAATGTCAGTTTCCATTCTTCATTAAAAAGCACTTCAAAGAGTTGTACACTGTAAAAGCCAGAATGCTCTTCTTTAGCCAGGGCTTATATAATTGTGTTTTTATTAACACACTCCCATCATTGAGTTGTTACCATCAAGCCACGTAACTCCTTAATGCAACAACTCATTTTAAGCCATTTGATGAAATTACAGCACCTCTGTCTAGAATTAGAATCACATCAGCTGATATTAGTATGCCTATCAAATTTTTCACATCTCAATAAATTAAAAAAAAAATTAAAGCTGGTCTAGCCGACCAAAAAGTTGGCAAATAATAAATACGTCCCGTGTCATTAACAATCACCTATTTAGACAGGGGAGTAAGAGAAATAACCCTTTCCTTAATTACATATTTGTTCCTACACCTCATTTTCCAAATCTATCTCTGGTTGATCAGCCTCCAGGCAATTACTCTCCAAATCCCCTTACACAATTCACTGATATATTTCACCCAACACACTGATCCTGCCTTGCCAGCTAGAACTGCCAAACTCACATCACCAGCTGCCTAACAGAATAGTTCTCAGACTCCCCAGTCATCACTAACACTACATCCAGCTCAGTGATCCATCCTGTCAACCCATCTGATGAACAACAAAACATCCCAAGTACGAACACAAACGGGTCTGGAAAAACAAGCCAGTACCAGCACTGGGGGCCTTCGGCATGGTGAACTACAGAAGGCACTTCCTCAAAAATATCCAGCCCAATTTTTTCCAAACCTGTGGGCAAATTTCTTTTTAAATTCCAGTTAAGTTATTGAGAATAATTTACACACTTTCCAAAGAGGCAGATGGACACACAAGCTGCAAGCCTACAGAGAATATTCACAACAGCGAACCAATGCTTATTTCAGGAGATGGGGTGTGGGTGTGTATAAGTTTTGTTATTCTTCTTCCTGGGGAAAACTCTTTTGTTCCCAGTTTCAATACAAAAGTCTGTAGCCACAGTCCATACAAATGTCTTAAGTGGAGAGAACACTGATTCTTTCAGTCAAAATCTGACAACAGCTTCAAATATTACACAGAAATAGGGGAGCAAGGATGCTGCACAGAAACTGTGAAGTTTTCTTAGGTCATAAATTAACTTGCAAACAACACCTAATGGGTTTGCAGTCATATCCCATAAAACCATTTCACCAAACAGCCATGAAACTATGAAATGAGTACACAGCAGTCCTTTTCAAAAATTGTCTATTTAACACACCACACTTCTCTTTCATCACTCTGTCTACAGAGTGACAGTGTGGATTCCCACTACTTCTGCTCAGTCAGATCATCTACAGCACGACTCTAATATAAAACTCATCAGGGGGGAGGGGAGGGAGGAATTTTTAAAAAGTGAAGTGTGAGAGCACATTGACAGCAGTCAATTTCTAATTCAAGCACAGTTTGAATGCTCCAGCTTGGAGATTTGAATTTTTAATTTCACCAAGAGAGTGGGTTCCAAATTAGGCATCTGATGCGCAGTCAGTCTGAAACTAGAATTGAGTTTACTGAAATAGAAAGTAATTTTCTCTTAACAGCTCAGTAGTGATCACATATAATGAAAATAAAACAACGTGGCAGTTCCTATATTGCCAAGGGTGAGGAGTCAGAAGGCTTTTAGCCTTACAATTTAATATCAATGTCCCACGACAAATGCTCCTCCTTTGCCTGCTGAAGTAAGTTCACCTGGTAGTCCCAGTCAGGCTGTCAGATGCAATGTCCATGCTGTCTAGGCAAGAACAGAGATGGAATGGAGCTCCAGACATCAGGAAAGCTGAGCACCAAATTCCTACAGAAAGTACAGCACCTCAGGATGCAATAATAAATACAAGACACTGCAAAAGTCAGGTACAGACAAACTAAAGTTACAGCAATGCTCAGAACACAAGGCAAACCTGTAGCAAGGAGAAAGGCAAAGAAGCGGTGCTGCTCCCCCATCCTGCTCCCCTGAAAACAAAGTCTCAGGGCTTTACATGAAGCCCTGCAGCTCTTTATGCTCCAACAGAATTTCTGCACTCAGGTATTCTTGCTATTTGCAGCAGAAATCGTGTGAACTGTACTTTTGCCAGCTGACAATAAATTGCCACTCCGAGTGGTGAGATGAAGCTCCTGCAGTGAACCCGTGGGGCACAGCCTTCAGCACTGCTCTCCTGTCCTCAACACCTGCACCAGCATCTTTAGTGAATGCAAGTCCTTACCAAATGCCAGCATATTGCTCAGCATCATCAGTCTGCAGAAGTTACAGCCTGCGAGGGGTGAAACTGCACTCCAGCAAGCAGAGTGCAGCTCCCCCGGAGACCGTCACTGGCAAGTGGGAA